CCCCAAAACCCCAAAACCCCAAAACCCCAAAACCCCATCTCAATATTTAAAAACTGAAATATTTAAAATCATGCTTAAGTTCTCATCCAGTCTCCGCTACCTTGGTAAGTTGTCTTGTAGGCCACATTTGAATTGCCAAAACTTACAGATACATTCATTTTCGATCTGCCGTCAAAAGACTCACAAGTCTCGAATTTTGGCTTTATTCCTATACCTGTTTTAGTAACTCATAGCTTGTAAAGAAACATATATTTTCAAATATTTGCTTTCTATCAACCCTGCTACATTTTAACAGCCTAAGATGGTGAATTATGCCAAAAAATAACCTGGCCTTCTACTAAAGACTCTTTGTATTTTGCTTAAAGGTCTTATGCTAAAGCTACTCCTGCTAGCCTAACTTTTAACGTTATGATTTAAAATTAATTCATTTCTAATGCTATATTTATCGAACTGAGTATTTTCTCAAGAACTATGTCTTGGTATAGAACATCCTTCTAATTTCATTTCAAAAATCTATTGACAAACCCTAACAACAGTAGAATCTGTTTTAATAGAAACAGCTCTTTAATTTCACTTAATTCTGTTTAAAAATAAATACAAATTTCTGTTGTACCAAGTTCTGTGAAATGACTGGACTTCGGTAATTCACAGATAGATTAGACTAACAAATTGAAATGCCTTTTTCATACCTTGATTTGTCAATAACCTTCTAGCTCCTTTAGAATTCTGCATTCAAATAAGTTTGTTGGTAGCAAATCCAACTTTGAAGTTTGTTCTAGTGTAGATATTTGGATTCGTTTTCTAATTTTTAACATAAAACTTACTGTTCTTTTGTGAGTAGGCTGGAGATGACCAGAGTGACTATATTCATTAATATTGGATTTGTCTCCAATCGAGAAATGATTTGCAAGTTGATCCTTAGACAGTTTGGCATTAAGCTTGTTGTTCTGTTCATCTGTGTAATCCTTCTTGCGAGCCTTTGTGAAGCGAGACTGCTTCTCAGTGTAGCTTTCATCTTGAGAAGAACCTATTTTAAAGTGGGTCTTCACATCTTCACTTTTTCTGGATTTACAAGCTGAGTTGTCGTTATTGAAAGAATGATTGCGGTAAATTCTGGGTGGGGAAGAAGGCTGGCTATTCACAAAATTGAATTTTATGTTCTCATCTAGGTTCATATTGTGATACTTTGCAATATCACTTTCTATAATGTTAGATGATAGTTACTCTTCTTTAAATCAATGCTTAAGTTCATATCTTTGGCTGTTGAAATGGGCAATTCTGAAGGATAATTTATAAGAATACCTTTTTGAGAAGAAATTCCTCAGAATCCAAGATTTTTAGAGGTAATGTTGCTCTTCAGGTTTTTAAATGAAGCTTCTAACTTCTCATTATATTTGAGCAAGTTGTTGGAAGCATTGATTTTATTTGCAGAACTTGTCTGATTCAGCTTTTTCTTCGGTATAGATTCTTCTATCTTGTCGTCAACTTCATGAACTTTATCTTTGAGAACCATTTTAACAGAATCTTTCTTTAGGTATTTATTACTAAAATGTATTAGAATTGAAGGTTAGAATTAATACTTTGGAAGATTCACATATTTAGTAGGGATTTTATTTGAGTCGATGCTTTTTCTTCCTGTTTTGTTCTTTCTTCTATAAGCTTCCCAAGGGTTCTCCATCTGTTGATGGTACTTTTTGAACAAATTAATATTACTACTCTTGTAGCTTTCATCAACTTTATGGCAAAGAGTTGGTCTATCATCATAATTTTTGAATTTAGAATGACTCTTGTCTGATAATTTCATGTAGAAATCTAACTTTACGTTAGATTTGTTTTTGTAAGGTCTTTTATAGGGCTTATTCTTCCTAGAAATAAATGATTGATTTTACTCATTTAATCTTTCTTCTTCAATTTTATCAAAACTAGAGTGATGGAACTCCCGAGGTTGATTTCTTTCAGATCCAATAGTCACAGAGGTCTTTAAGTTCAGATTGTTCTTAGCTTTTTTTCAATTTTTTTCAAACTCATTGAAGGAGTAGTTTTTATCAGAATAGAAAGTTTTAGACACTGATTTGTTCATTTTATCCATATCTGAATAGCCAAGTTCAACCTATTTTAAGTAGTAAGAGGAATAAACTTACTGAATGCTTTCCTAAAATGCTTGCATTATTTTACTCCTTCTCTGATAGCTTGGCTGGTAGATTGATCTCTATCCGCCTCTTCAATTTCTAGAGTTGATACCAAAACTTACTTGAAGAATTGTAGTCATTAACTTTGAAGGAAGGATCTGTAAATTTAATGTGAGATCTGGAAAGGTATTCCTTCATTATTTTTCTATCTTCAACTGAATGATAAGTATCAACCTTTTCTTTATCTAAGTTTCTTTCTTTAGTACTAGAAAGATTGAGGAAAATAGTTTACCTCCGTTTGAAAGGCTGAGGGCCTAAATGGTCATCAATTCCTTTGATGGTCATTCTCTTTACTGATTGATTTCTCTTTGCTGGAATAATTAGATAAGTGGATTGACATACCTCTGTAATCAAATGTAAAGTAGTTATGCATCTCAGGATTCATTCTAAAATTCTCGTGGCCTTTATTTTTCAGTGCTAAATTTGAGCAAGGTTAATTTCAAAATTTTAAAATTCATAAAAGGGTAGAATTATTTAAAACATTTCTTGAACTGAATTTCTATATTCTTGATGTAAAATTTGGGATGAGTAAACTTCATGAAATATGCTGATAAATTCTATCTTTTACTTGATTTTCATCTGTTCTGAAGCAACATTGATGGGACTCCATTATGCAAATTGTTGAACTTATTCCCAATAGTGGACTTGGATCGCTTATGCATTATTCCCTATACCAATTTTTATATATCTTCAAGTGATTCATATACACAAAGGGTGGTAAAATAATCACCTGTGGTTTGGCAGTCACCTTTGTGGTCATTTTATTTAAAATAAAATTTATTTAACTCGGGGTTTTGGGGTTTTGGGGTTTTGGGG